TTTAATTTAATCAAATCCCATTTACTTGTTTTTATTCTTGCTGTAATTGTCATTGGGGTCTTCTTCAGAAATTCTTTGTCTAAATCAATATCTAGAAGAATTTTCTAGCATTTTCTTCTACAATTCTTATAGTTTATTACCTTACATTTAACTCTATTACCCATCTTGTATTAATTTTTGTGATGATGAAAGATTCTATTTCATTTTTCTGCATGTGACCATCCAATGTTCCCAGCACCACTTATTCAATAGTTTCTTTTCCCCAGTGTATATTGTTGTCTGCTTTGCCAAAGATCAGTTGACTGTATGTGGATGGTTTTAAATCAGGGTTCTCTGTTCCATTGGTCTGTGTCTCTCTTTTTGTGCCAATACCACACTGTTTTGGTTACTATAGCTCTATAATACAGTTTGAAGTCTAGTAATGTGATGCCTCCAGATTTGTTCTCTTCGCTTAAGATTGCTTTGCTTATTCAGGCTCTTCTGGTTCCAAACAAAGCTTAGAATTTTTTTTTCTAGATCTGTGAAATATAACATTGATATTTTGATGGGGATTTCATTGAATCTGTAAATCATTTTGGGTAGTATGGACATATTAACAAAGTGGATTCTACCACTTCATGAACATATGTTTTTCCATCCATGATTTCTTTCTTCAGTGTTTAATAGTTCCCTTTTAGAGATCTTTCACTTCCTTGGTTAAGTATATTTCTAGGTATTTTATTTTCTTTGTAGCTATTGTGAATGGTATTGAGTCTTTGATTTGACTCTCAGTTTGAATATTATTGATGTATAGGAATACTAACTGATTTGCTACATGGATTTTGTAACCTGAGACTTTGTTAAATTTATCAATTCCAGTAGTCTCTCAGTGGAGTCTTTGGTGTTTTCTAGATGCAAGATTATATCATCAGAAAAAAAGTGATAGTTTTACCTCCTCCTTCCTGATTTGGATACCCTTTATTTCTTTCTTTTGCCTGATTGCTCTAGCTAGGACTTCAGCACTTTGTCAGTTTTATCTCATATGAGAATGCTTATACCTGCTTTCTTTTGGTTTCCATTTACATGGAATATTTTCTTTCATTCCTTCACATTGAGTCTCTATGAGCCCTTGTGGATTAGATGTGTTTCTTGGAGATAGCAGATACTTGGCTTGTATTTTTTCATCCATACAGCCAGCCTATATGTCTTGAGTGGGACATTCACACTGTTCATGTTGATTAATAGAATTGATATTCTAGATGCTGTTCTGTTTATCATGTTGAGTATATCTTATTGTTTTGTTTTGTTTATCTTTCCTTTTCTTTTCTTTTTTTGCTATTGTTTTACATGAACTCTGAGCTTTGCTTTTCTGTGATTTTTACACTGGTGGATGTCTATTGTGCTAATCAATGTATAATGGAGTCCTGAGTATTTCCTGGAGGCCAGATCTGATCTTGACAAATTTCATTAGTGTTTGTTTGTCAGGATAAGGTTTTTTTTTTTCTCCTTCATATCTGAAATTTAGTTTTGTAAGATACAAAACTCTAGGCTGGCTATTGTTCTGATTAAGAAAACCGAAGATGGGGTCCTGATCCCTTCTGGCTTTTAAAGTCTCAGTTGAGAAGTCTACAGCTAACCTGATGGGCTTTCTTTTGTAAGTTACTTGATGTTTTTGTCTCATGGCTCACAGGAGTTCCTTCTGTGTGTTGACTTTGGCCAGCTAGATGACTATGTGTCTTGGTGAGTGCCTCTTTGCAATGAATCTCCCAGGTGTTCATTGAACTTCTTGTACCTGGATGTCTAAATTCTATCAAGACCAGGGCAATTTTCCTCAATTATTCCCTCAAATAGGTTTTCCAACCCTTGTGCATTTTCTTCTTCACCCTCAGGGATGCTTATGATTCTTATATTTTTCTGTTTTACATAATTCCATATTTCTTATAGGCTTTTTTTCATTCCTCTTAATTCTTTGTTCTTTAGTTTTTACTGTCTGAGTTAATCAAAAGAGTTGACTTTAAGCTCTGACAGTCTTTCTTCTGCCTGATCTGGTCTATTCTTAAAACTTTCTACTGGGCCAGGCATGGTGGCTCACGCCTGTAAACCTAGCACTCTGGGAGGCCAAGCCAGGAGGATCATTTGAGCTCAGGAGCTTGCAACCAGCCTGAGCAAGAATGAGACCCTGTCTCTACTAAAAACAAAAGAAATTAGCTGGACAACCAAAAATATAAAGAAAAAATTAGCTGGGCATGGTGGTGCATGCCTGTAATCCCAGCTACTCAGGAGGCTGAGGGAGAAGGATTGCTTGAGCCCAGGAGTTTGAAGTTGCTATAAGCTAGGCTGACACCATGGCACTCTAGTCTGGGCAACAAAGTGAGACTCTGTCTCATACAAACAAACACAAACAAACAAAAACTTTCCACTGTGTTTTATATTTCCTTAAATGAATTTTTCATTTCCAGAAGTTCTATTTTGTTTTTAATTTAAACATGTTGATCTCTTTAGTGAATTGTTCATTGATTTCCTGGATTGTTCTTCTGATATCTTTGAGTTGGTTTTCCATTTTCTCTTGGATTTCATTGAGCTTGCTTACCATCTATATTTGGAATTTGTTTTCTGTCATTTCAACAATTTAATTGTGATTGGTATCCATTCCTAGAGAGCTTGTGTTCCCCTTTGATGGTGTCCTTTCACTTTGATTTTTCATACTTCTGGAGTTCTTTCACTCATTCCTTCTCATCTGGAGAAATTGTGACTTCTTATTTTTGGAGTTTATTTTGTTTAAATGGTGCTTCCCCCCTCAATTGTAAGCGTGTGTCGGTGGCATATATTGGGTAAGGAACCTGTGGCTTTGCTTGTGGGTGCTTTGATGGCAGTCTATGTTCTGGATGGATATCTTGGTTATAGATATTCTTAGTGTTAGTTGTATATAGGCTATAGCAGTAGTGAGCTACATGTATGGGCAGATTCCCTGTCTCTTGTTGATGAGGAAGAATGGACATCTTTGAAATCTTTTCTCTTTTCCCAACTCTGTGGTCAATTCAACAGTGTGAATTGTATTGGCCTGCCCAGTTTAATCTCTGAGACAGTAGGTAGTGCTTGTGAGTAAGAATCAACCACACCCTGTATGACTGCATCAGTAAGTGTTGTAAAGGGCTATGTAAATTGTTCTTCCTGTCAGTAGGTGGTGCTTGCTGGAAGAAATAGGCTGCAGTGTTGTTTTTGGGACCTGTGACCTGTGTGCCTCAGGAAAAAGCACTTAAATACCCCAGGTGGTGCAGCAAATGCAGGTGGGGGAGCAATGTTGGGTGAGCTGGGTGGTGTAAGCTTGTCTTCAAGCCCCACAAAAGCTGGTAAGGTAGCTCTTTCAGCAGAGGTCAAAAGTTCACTCCCAGGCTTCTGGAGAAAGCCTCCAGGGAGAGGCTAAAGTGGCCCCACCCAGCCAGAAAGTCTGTTTATGGGGTAAGGGCCATCTGAGATTCACAATCTAGCTGTTAGGAGTGGGTTTCACTCTTCTCCCCCTTCCCTTCTCTGCAGTATACATCTGGCATCTGCCAGCAGGCAGGAACTCAAACTAGCTGAGCTCCCCAACAGTGGCTCTGTAGGCTGGGAGCTTCCCTGTCCAGGATCCCATCCTGGGCTGAGAATGCAGACTTCCTGTAGCAGGATGGGTGCTCCACAGGTGTGATGTGGCTAGGACCCATGCTGTAGTCTCTTTTCAGTTCTGCACATGCAGGCTCCCTTGCTTCCCAAGATTAGTTCACAAATCTCTACTCTGTGCCCCTGAGGAGCACAATTGATTCCTGGGGGTACAGAGTCTGGCCTGTGGGCCTGACCCTGCATCCCTAAAGATCAATCTCTGCCCGTGGCAGGGAAAAGCATGCTGGTCATGAATTGCCTATGGGGTGCTCGAGCAGGTTTGAAGCACACTACTTCAGGGTTTGCCCTGCTCTGATAGAGCAGCTGGGCAAGTAGCACCAGGGAGGGCCAGTGAGCAGGTAGCTCACAGTCTAAGCACCCCTTAGTCTGCCACAGGTCTTTAAGAGAAAAGCTTTGAGTACCACTCTCTGTAGCAGTCTCAGTGAGATGGATGCACCATAGAGGGAAAGGAGCTGCTTTCTGAGAGCCCCAGCTCAATTGTCTCTCTCACCTTGGCAGCCACAGATAGGGGAGGGGAATGGGAGGAAAAGAGTCTGAATGGAAGAAAGCTAGCACTCTGGTCATCTCTGTCTCTTTCTCTACAAGGCAGTCTGCCTGGAATGTCCAGGTTCTGGGGTCATGCAGATCCTCCAGGACCCACCAGTCCCCGTGGCTCCTGAAATCTGGGCTGGTGTGGGAAATGTTTCTGTGGGAATGAACTAGATGAAAAATGAGAGACTGGAGCCCCCTGAAGAGGACAAAGGTGCTCAGTGGGTGGAGAAGCAATATGGCACCTTCCATCTCAGCTCTGAGGTGATGGGAAGCAACCCCAAGGTGGCTAGCAGCCTAGTGCTTTGTCCTCAAGAAGCTCCCAGTTTACTGGCAGTGGCAGCTGTTGGGCTTCTGAGGGTAGAAGGGCTCTCCAGCAACTCAGGAGTCTGCTGTCAGAGATGTGAGTAGGGGGAGAAATAAGCCATTCCACTGATCCTTTTTGCCAGACTCCAAGCCTCTAGGGGTTGATCTCTGCCAATATCTTACTCCTTCTTGCTCTGCTCCGTAACTCCTTCCCATGGAATCTCTGGTAATTTCTGGCACTATTCCTTTGGAATGACACCCATTCTATGTTTGTTTGTTTGGTTGTTTTTTTTCTTTTTCATCTAAAACTTTTCCTTCTTTCTGAGACAATCTGGCAGCTGATGTCTCTGGTCAGCCATCTTCCCCACATGCTCCAGAAAAATTCAAAATAATAAAAAAAAAATGATTACAAAAATACTAGATTGAGAGCGGCGGAGGCGGAGGCGCAGGCTCTTCCTGGGGTCCTGGCGAGCCCGAGCCTAAGCGGCGGCCCTGCAAGGTCCCTGCACAGCGCCCCGATCCAGGGCCCTCCCCGTCCGGCCCAGCCCCGAGAGCTTTCCTCCCCGGCCGGGAATGAGGCTGGGAGGCGGCCGCGCTGGGCTCAGCACAAAGGCTTGTCCTCAGGGGCCGCCGCCTCCGCTGCCTCTGCTGCCTCTGCTGCCGCCCGCCTAGAACCACCCGCCGAAGCTGAACCGGCGCCAGAGCCCTCGTCCCCGCCGGTCCCCAGGGGAGGCTGCTGCTGCCCGTCCCCTCGAGGCCCAGAGGCCCTAGCTCCGAGCCCTTTGCTCTCTCGGCAGCTGGGGGACCGGGCAGCCGCGCAGCCTTTGCCGCTCCCGGCTTTGGGGGCACCGCGGAGCATGTCCGAGGAGAGTGACATGGAGAAAGCCATCAAGGAAACTTCCATTTTAGAAGAATACAATATCAATTGGACTCAGAAGCTGGGAGCTGGAATTAGTGGTCCAGTTAGAGTCTGTGTGAAGAAATCTACCCAAGAGCGATTTGCACTGAAAATTCTTCTTGATCGTCCAAAAGCTCGAAATGAGGTACGTCTGCACATGATGTGTGCTACACACCCAAATATAGTTCAGATTATTGAAGTGTTTGCTAACAGTGTACAGTTTCCTCATGAGTCCAGCCCCAGATAGCTTTGGCTCTACAGCACTGTCACTTGTTAAACATCGCACACAGAGACCTCAAGCCTGAAAATCTGCTTTTCAAGGATAACTCTTTGGATGCTCCAGTGAAGTTGTGTGACTTTGGATTTGCCAAAATTGACCAAGGTGATTTGATGACACCCCAGTTCACCCCTTATTATGTAGCACCTCAGGTACTAGAGGCGCAGAGAAGACACCAGAAGGAGAAGTCTGGCATCATACCTACCTCACCAACGCCATACACTTATAACAAGAGCTGTGACTTGTGGTCCCTAGGAGTGATTATTTATGTGATGCTGTGCGGATACCCTCCTTTTTACTCCAAACACCACAGCCGGACTATCCCAAAGGATATGCGAAGAAAGATCATGACAGGCAGTTTTGAGTTCCCAGAGGAAGAGTGGAGTCAGATTTCGGAGATGGCCAAAGATGTCGTGAGAAAGCTCCTGAAAGTCAAACCAGAGGAAAGACTCACCATTGAGGGAGTGTTGGACCACCCCTGGCTCAACTCGACTGAGGCCCTGGATAACGTGCTACCCTCTGCTCAACTGATGATGGATAAGGCGGTGGTTGCAGGAATCCAGCAGGCTCATGCAGAGCAACTGGCCAACATGAGAATCCAAGATCTAAAAGTCAGCCTCAAACCCCTGCACTCAGTGAACAACCCCATTCTGCGGAAGAGGAAGTTACTTGGCACCAAGCCAAAGGATGGTGTTTATATCCACGACCATGAGAATGGAGCCGAGGATTCAAATGTTGCTTTGGAAAAGCTCCGAGATGTGATTGCTCAGTGTATTCTTTCCCAGGCTGGAGAGAATGAAGATGAGAAGCTGAATGAAGTAATGCAGGAGGCTTGGAAGTATAACCGGGAATGCAAACTCCTAAGAGATACTCTGCAAAGCTTCAGCTGGAATGGTCGTGGATTCACAGATAAAGTAGATCGACTAAAACTGGCAGAAATTGTGAAGCAAGTGATAGAAGAGCAAACCATGTCCCATGAATCTCAATAGTGACAGCTTCAAACATTGTTTTTTGTTGTTTTTTTTTAACAATTTGAAAAATTATTCTTTAATGTATAAAGTACTTTTTATGTAAATTAATAAATCATAATTTCATCTCCAAAAAAAAAATACTAGATTGAAAAATTACAGAAATGTAAGTGAAATATGGCACAGTTCATTTCACAAGAGAGAAAAGATTTTTGCAGCTAATTGATATTTTCTAACCCTGTTAACTTCTTTAATTTGGCTTTGTAGTAGCATAATGTAATAGATTATCTTATCACCAAATTTCACATCCCTGTTTAACACACCAGTAAATATAATTCATCACATTGTTTCATCTTCATATCTCATAAGTTAGGAGAACACAATAGCTTTGCTTTCCTGTAAAAGAAACTTTTATAAAAATGAAAATTTTGTGAAACACAGAATAAGAAGTAATTCCTCCCTTTATAAAAATATTTGCTGAATTTTTTCATTAGATAATGAATTTCTTTAGGACCCTAATGAACACTGATTTAACACATTGTTGGATAAGACAATGTATATACCAATCATTATTAAGTTGATGTGGAGATACTGTCTAATAGGCACGGTGGAGCTGTTCTTCACTTATTAAATATATCATTAAACTATTTCTTTAAAATTTTTGTTTTCACCCAGATAACACATACAAAATGAATCTATTTTTAGCTGATTTGAAAGCCAAATTTTTCTTTTTATCCTAACTCTACATGAGAATTGGTGGAAATAAGAAATGGGAAAAAACCCCAAAAAACATTTGTCCAAACACTATGGAAGCTCTGAGGGGGATATTCCTTATTCTTGACATCAATCAGTGATGTTTGTGTTCATTTAAGCCAGTATTGATGTTTAATGTGATGTTTAGATCAAGTCTATGTGGCTAAACTCAGGGTCACTGAATAGACTATATCTTCCTTTCTTGTTTTGTGAGAAATTTACATTTCTAATTTTAAAGTTCTATCTTCTGATTTATCTGCTTTCTCCTCAGCTGCTCTGAGTGATTGCTTTCCTTCTTTCTGGTGCAATCTGCATAAAACTACTAACTATCACAGGAATATTTATTGTTTTAAAATGTGCTCATAGATCAAGTCAACAGCATATATTTCACATTTGCTCTCTTCAACTTTCCAATTTCCCTTCTATAACATTGCTATTTATATCCCACCTAATCTTCTAAAGGCTCGAACACTCTTTACTTTATACATTTCAGGTAATGGAAATGTCAGTGGGAAGCTAGGTGGTGGAGCATACCTGACTAGGCTGTTTAATATATACTTTATTTCTTGATTTATTTAGTTGGCTCTAACCCAAACCAGCAAAGTCCTAGAAAAGAAATATATATGAATCAAAAAAATATATTTGTTTTATTAAAAAAGTAAAGTCTTGATTCTTAAACTCCAGAAGCTAAAAGTTATTAATATATAACTTAAAACCTATATATAAAAAGACTTCATCTTGAGTATCAAGTAATATGCTATATATACATCTTTGATTGGAAGTCTCTGATGTCATTATTTTCTTCCACTTATGCAAAAAAAAAAAAATCCATTCAGCTACTCTTTAAAGAGTGAAATTTCTGTCAACTTCTGTGAATTGAAACTCAGTGAGATTAAAAGCTGAATGATTTTCCCAGAATAATCTCCATATTTTGCTTGAATTCCACATGTCCTTCGGTCTGACTTATCTTTTTATTTATCTTCATTGTTCTCAGACTGATTCTTCAGAAACAATCCAAAAAGCCACTTTTTGAGACAAATTGGAAGCACTTCATTAACAATCTCTAAATAAATCATTTTTGTTAGTAACCAAATGAGAGTTTGATTCCTATGTTTCACCAGTGCTTATTCTTGTTTGGATTTTCCCATGAGGAAAGTATCCCTTTCATATACAGGAACTACTTTCCTGATTTTAAGTAAACTGAATCAGCTTTTCTTCAAAACCGAAAACTTGTATTTCCTAATCTGACTTATGGAAAAAAATTCCCTCCTTCAAAACATCTTAAAATTGATTCCGTTCTTAACTCCCTCTGGCTGTATCCAAGAAAAACTTTCGGTGTCAAGCATTATACATGATAGTTTCACAGATCCCTTATTTTATTATCCAACGGTCTCTTAATATTTGTATATTTAATTAAGAATCAATACTCAATAGGCAACCTGTTTATATGTCTCATTGAGAGCTTTACATAATACATCTCATAATTCTGGAGATTTAATTTTCATCTAGAGTGAAATAATATTCCTTGTTTCCACAATAATAGCCAGTACTATACCTTTTGTAATACTACAGAAAGCCTGCGGGATGAAAATACTTTTTGTTCTACTAGTACATACCTGTATAAATCATTTGACAAATATTTATTAATGAGTCAGCCAAATATTATACTGAATTTGCTACAAAAATATTAATGTTTACTTAAATCATACTGGTAAAGACATTAACTCAACTGAAGCATCATTCAGTTATCAAAGATTATATTGTATATGGGAGTCAGATTCCTCAGGTACATATCACACAGAGAAATGTGCAATTCTTGGGAGTTCCGGAATAAATATATTAGAAATACTATTATGGCAGCCTAGAAGGAATTAAACTAGGCTTATGTGATGATCATAGTTAGAGCATATTCAAACATGTTTTGGCTAAATTTACTATAATGCATTTATATTTCAGCTTCATATCCTTGTAGTCTGATCTTAGGGACAACAGCCAGCTAATTTTATGGTACTTTTTTGTTTTCTCAAGCATGCAGATAGAATCTCATCTGTAGAACTTGGTATTCAATGGAAAAAGAAAAAGAAAAGAATAAATAAGTTATAAGTAAAAATAAATTTTTTAAAAAAGAATCTCATCTGTTAGCTCGACATAGACATTACCCTCCATTAAAGGGACCAGATTTTTTGTCCTTGGGTACTCTATATTATTCATCTTTCCAAAAGGGAGATTGGGGGCTAGCAATGCAGAAAGAGCACACACAAAAAAGTGGACGTAGGAAAGAGTATGAACTCTTCAGAAAAATATAAATGGACATGATTTAAGTGCAGATGAGACAGTACTCTTTATCTTAGAGAGAAGCCCATCTCAAACTATTAATACCTTAAGAAGAAAGAAAAGTAATTTTGACTCATCCTTCTTGAATATCTAAGGGATGGCATAAGCTCCCAACAGAGATGGCTCTTGGAATTAAAATAATAACAGGAGGCCTATTTCCTTAGGCCATCTCTAGTCTCTTTGTTGGCCTCATGACTAAGCCTGTTTTCTCCCTGGACAGCAAAACAATGGCTCGATGCCCCTACAAATTTACACAGCAGTTGGCACTTACAGTCTCATAAAGATCAGGGTGCTTCCTTTGCCCTCTGTGTTCAGATCAATACAACCACAAAGACTCTGACTGGCCCTACTTATCATGTGCCCATCAGTGGTCCAATCACTGTTTGTGACCATAACTGAAAGGGCTTCTTCCATGATCTCTTAAAAGAAGTTAGTCTTAAACTTGGGATTTCATTCCTTTTAAGAAAATACCTTTTTCCATCAGGAATGAATTGCTTCTCTGAATTTATTTAAATTGATTCCCTATTCCTTTTCAATTCTCTTTTCAGTTGCCAATGTGGGAGATCTATAGACTAATGAGCAAAATCTGTAGAGTGTTGGTTCAGTGAAAGATAAATTTTTCAGTATTTCACTGGGTAAAAAAGATGTAATTATAAAAATTTTACCAAGCATATCACTAATTTTGCAAAAACTTTTTTCCATGATTTGAATATGGCCAGAGAGTAGGGTGCATACAGAAAATTCAGGTTACAAAGGAGGCAGGGCTCTGGTTTCCATGACCTACCTGGAATTTCTTTATAGACTCTCTAAGGGAACATTCTACCAGTGTAAGATACACTAAATAAAAATAAATGCTTAAAAAAGATGTTTTATTTCTTTATTATTACTACTTTTACGTATTTTCAAAACATAAGATATGAAATGAAGAGTATAAAAAATAACCAAAATAGAAGGAAGTTTAAAAAGTTGAGACTATTTTTTAATAACTCAATGCAAATAAATTTAAAAATCTACATGAAGTGGAAAATTCTCGGGAAAAATATAATTTACCAAAGCAATCAAAAGTGTAACAAGACCAATTTCTAAGTTTGTTAAGATAGAATAATTCCTCATTTATTTAGCTCTTCTTTAAGGTCATTCAACAGCACTTAAAAGTTTCACAAATAAAAGTCTTACACATCTTTTCTTAGATTTATTCCTACTCAACTTATGTTTTATTGGAATTTTAAATAATATGCTTAAAAATTACTTTTTCTATCTCTTTATTCTGATGTGTAGAAATAAAATTAAGTATATTGATTTTAGAGGCAACTAGATTGTCTACCTCTCTTATAATTTCTAATAATTTACCTATAAAACTTTAGAGTTTTCTATGTGTACAATCATATCTATAATTAATGAGAGATTTGTTCCTTTCTTTCCAATTCTCACTTACACTATTTACTCTCTATTGTTTTACCTCGTTAGCTAGTATAGTACTTCTAGTACTTCCAGTTCTAGGGTGAATAGAGTTGATGATAGTGAGAATGCTTCAGACATTTCATATGTTAAAAACAAATACTTGCTATAGGTTTTTAAAAATCATAAATAGAAGTTGAATTTTATAGAAAAGTTTTGCTACATCCCTTGATAAAATTACTGTATATCACTTTTTTCTTTGAACAATTTTATTGTTGAACTGATGTTACTCCTGAAATAAGCACAACTTATTCATTATGTTTATATGACTGTATTTGCAGAATGTTGGTCTGTATTAATCAGCGAGATTAGCCTGTGATTTACATTTGTCATACTTTGTATGTTTTGTCATTAATGTTACACCAGTCATAAATGTTACATTTGTCATAAATGTTACATGAATAGGGGCCTATAGACTTTATTTTCTCTGAAAAGTCTTGTGAAGGGCTAGAATTATCTATTTCATGAAGGTTTGCTAGAATTTATTTGTTAAACCATAGGGGCCAGTTGGTTTCTTTATGGAAAGATTTTAAACTACTGATTCAATTTCTTTATTGGTGATTGAGCCTATTTTTTGAATAACTGTTAGAAGTCATATTTTCCTAAGATTATTTTTAAATAAACTTTGTTGTCATAAAATTGTTTGCATTATTTTCTTGTCTTTTTTGACTCTATTGAATCTGTGGTTACGCCTGCCTGTCATTTGAAATATTGATTATTTGTAACTTTTTGCTTTTATTTGTAATTTCAACAGGGGTTAAACCATTTTATTAGTGCTTTCAAAAAACAAATTTTTGGCTTTGTATTTACATCATTTTTATGCTATTATTTTAAATACATACACATTTATACCAGTTTCATCTTCCTGGTTCAATTGAACTTGTAGTATTATGCAATAACCTTTTCAATAACCTTAACTTGCCACTTATCTTAAAGTCAGTTTTATCTGAACTTAGTATTGCTCCCCTAAAGTCCCTTCTAGTTAGCATTTCAGATTAGTATGCTTTTTCCATCTCTTTACTATCCATATGAATTCTTGAAAATAACATATATCATAGGTTCTTGAAAATAGCATATAACTAGAATTTTTAGAGTAGGAAGGGTTACCTAATAAACACCTTCTATTTTTTGTGTGTTTTATGTTTTACTGCTTTCTATCCCTCTTGAGATCTTTGGTTCATTTCCTTATTTTTCTTAATCCATTATTTTCTTCTACTGGTATACCCTCTCTTTCTATTCTTTTGGTGATTATCCTAGACAAGTTTTACCATATGTTCCAAATCAACACTTAAAGTTAATATTGTAATCTACACCCTCAAACAATATAAGGAAATTTAGAATACATTATTCAGATCAATTCTTTTACACTTTATATGCAATTTTTTGCTCAACAGTTGTAAATTTATTTTTAGTATATATACATGTATGTGTGTGTGTGTGTGTGTGTATTCTGAAAATATCTTTAGTCTGCCTTTTATCTTTTTGGTTTTTTTACAAAACAGAATTTTATATAAATTTGTATACAGATAAAAATGTTCCAAAATTTAGACAAAAATCTAATTCAAATTTTTTCCCACCACAAAAATGGACACTATGATTAAAAGCCACATTGTATTTAAATACATTTTTCCATTTTTCTATCACAAACTGGTAAATTCCAGGGGGTGGGGAGTGGGGTATAACGGAGAGGAGAGGAAATGCTGATAGTCAATACAATTTGATCTTCAGTGTTGTCTCACCTTGAAATGACTTAATTACAGAGGTTTCTGTAAGAATCAGCATCCTTCCCTTTTAACATTAAAATGGAAACTTCTCCTCCAAAATCACAAATAAGGCTTCTGGCTTTTTAGCGTGAGGTAAACAGTACATCTGATATTAAGGCAAATGGGACAATACACGTATGGTATATTAACACAGATCTTCTACTGTAAAACATACACTGGAATTAGAACTTGTAAAAACTGCTGCAGTGTGTAATAGCTATTTGCCTGAATGTCTTAGCTGTGCCTTTTTGGTAGTTAATATGTTAAATGTCATCTTAACTGAATGTTTTTATGGCCTGTGATTTGTTCTATTATATAGGATTAGATGTTCACCAAAATCTTTGAAGATGAACCAGAGCCTGATTTCGAATTCTGTAGACACACACATTATTTAGCCATATTGACTCCTCCGCGAGGTCGGCAAACACTGCCTACTGAGCGGGCTTGCTGTGATGGAAAAGTATGAGAACACAGGACATGATTTTTATATTTTCACTCTAAGTAAAATCAGATTTAGGCTGTCTAGATATCTTATTCAAGAAAATACAGATTTAAGATTTTTCATACAGTGATTCTTGTTCATGCTTTCCCCTTTTTACACCAATGAGATGACCATTTCCTTCACAGTGGTGAGACGACCATCCCTTCTTCTGGAGACATGGACTTCCTCCCCCAAGGGATCAGGGTGAAGATGTCACTTCTTGGACACATTGTCCACAGCCTTCCTGGCTGCATCCTCCAGGTCAATGGTGGAGGTGATGGGCAGTCCGCTGCTACTGAGTATGCTCTGAGCCTCTTGGACGTTGGTTCCCTCAAGCCGGACCATCATGGGCACCTTGAGTTCCAGCTCCCGGCAGGCTTTGGTGATTCCATTGGCGATGATGGCACAGTTGACAATACCACCAAAAATACTGAGAAGGATCGCTTCAACCTTAGGATCAGCTGTGAGCAATTTGAATGCTTGATATACTTGAGCCTCCTTTACACTGCCACCAAGATCCAAGAAGTTGGCTGGCTTCCCACCATTAAGGAAAATGATGTCACAAGTAGCCATGGCAAGCCCAGCACCATTCACAAAGCAGGCAATGTTCCCATCCAGTCCTATGTGTTTCAGATCATATCTGGCAGCTTCATTTTCAATGGGCTCATTCTCTGACTTGTTGTCCATAGCGAATATATTCTTTTGTGGGAACTCTGCGTTGTCATCGAAGTTTATCTTGGCATCAAAGCAGACAACTTGTCCTTCTGGAGTTTCACTGAAGGGATTCACTTCCACCTGACTAGGGTCAACTTTCAAGAAGACATTATACAGCTTCTTAATTTGATCTGCAGCCTGGTTTTTCAGAGGCCCAAGGAAGCCTAGATTCTCTGCCATCCGCTGAGCTTGACTGTCCTTTATCCCTTCAAAAATGCCAATTTGCTCCTTAAAAATAAGTTCTGGGTTTGAAGCGACCAGCTCCTCAATGTCCACGCCGCCCTGGGGGCTGCCCACCAGCATGGGGCCATTGCAGGACCGGTCCATCAGAATCGCCAGGTAGGTTTCCCTGGCGATGTCCAAGGCTTCAGCAACTATCACTTTGTTAACTTTCACACCTCCTTTCGGAGTTTGTTTGGTTGCTAGATTATATCCAATCATCTGTTCAGCCAGCTGTCCCACAACATTAGATCTTTTGTTAAATGAACACCTCCTTTCAAACCGCTATTGAAGACACCTTTTCCTCTTCCTCCAGCTAAGATCTGGGCTTTTAAAACAATTTCTTTTGCATTTAGTCTCTTATCAGCCTGGAGAGCTTCATTTGCACTGTCTGCAACAAAGAATCTTTGAACTCTCACTCCATAGTCAGACATCAGTTTCTTGCTCTGGTATTCCTGCAGGTTCAACCATCTTCTGGAGGTAAATTGAAATGCCTGGGACTGGGCCACCAGCAACATGGGACTGAGCACCAGGGCTCGCAGCAGCTTCGCAGAGCGCTGCGGGGGGGGGGGTGGGGTTGGAAAGGGGGCAGGGGCGCAGGGGTGGGAGGAGGAGGAGCAGGAATGGAGAAGGCAGGAGAGGAGGAGTAAGAGGAGGGGGAGGAGGAGAAAAAGGAGGAGAAGGAGAAAGAGGAGGGGGAGGCAGAGGAGGAGGAGGAAGAGGACAGGAGGAGGCCGGCCTACACATTCCCCTGTGCCAAGTCCGCCCTGGGTCTCTGGGGAGGAGGAAGAGGAAGAGGAGGAGGAGGAAGAGGACAGGAGGAGGCCGGCCTACACATTCCCCTGTACCAAGTCCGCCCTGGGTCTCTGGGGAGGAGGAAGAGGAAGAGGAGGAGGAGGAAGAGGAGGAGGAGGGGGAGGAAGAAGAGGAGGAAGAAGACCTGCCTTTTATCTTGATCACTATTTTTTCTCAGCCTCTCAAATATATTATTTCATTTCCTGCTGACTTTTATTGTTGCTACTGAGAAATCTATCTTTAATTGTCTTACTTTTGTAGGGGCTTTGGAATTGTTGTGGCCAATGACATGTAAGTGGAAGAGAGGTGTATCATTCCAGGTTGAGACAGTGAAAAGGCTTGTGTACCCTGTCCATTCCTTTCTTCCCCTTCCAAAGTAAACAAGGAGACTTTATGTCAAGATGACAGAATGTCAAGATCAAAAAAGCTTAGATTGCTAACTCACTGGGTGAAGGACAGTTGACTGGCAGCCTCACCTTGGCTAATGGTCGACTTTTGTTTATGTAGCTATAGAGATGGAGGTAGTTTTACTACACCATAGACTACACTAATTAAAATACAATGTTTCTCAAGATATTGTTTTTCTTTTATTATCTCCATACCCTCCTTTAGAGAATGAAATTAAACATATGTTAGAACTCCTTTTATATCAGTTATATATCTTATTTTCTCTTTCATAGTTTCATCTCATCTCTCTATGTTATATTTTTTGCTACTTCTGTACATCTAATTTTTAGTTTGCTAATTTTCTCATCAGCTATATCTGACCTAACTAAGGCATTTTAGGTTTTAATTCGTCAATCATATTGTTATGATAAAAGTTCTATTTTGTATTTTTCAAATTGGCTAGGTATCAATTCTGATTCACTCTTTTTACATACTCATTCTTCTCTTTTATTAATATTTCTTCAAGAATTTTGTAAAGAATCATTTTCTCTTATCTATCTGAAAATTCTAATGTCTAAATTCTTTGGAAATCTATCATTATTGTTTGTTTTTTCTGATGACCCATTCATGATAATTTATTTTCTTGTGTGTATGGTACATTTGATTTGGGGGCCATAGACCTCAATCTGTGGAAAACCTAGAGAACTGAAATTGTGATACTTTCTTCCAGTGAGAATTTGCTTTTGTTTTGTTTTGTTTTGTTTTGTTTTGTTTTGTTTTGTTTTGAACCCTGGTTTTTCTTCAGATTGGGATTGTTTTATTACTCTTCTGAGTCCAATCTGGGAGGGCCAGATTCAGTTCCCCAACTTTACTTTGCAGCTAACCCAAGGCTTAGCCTTTAATAACAGTATTGCTATGAGTATTCGCCTTCAAGGAAAACCTAATTTAGAGCTTCCTGCTCAAAAATAAGGCTTCTGTTTTGTTTGTTTCTTATTCCCTTTACAAATTCCTTCACATCTTGGGCCAAGCGAAGCAGTAAAATATATTTTATACTAGATGTAGGTGTTTTGTAGCACATCGGTTCTTCAGCAAATTCAGTCTGCTATTCCACCCCATCTCTTATTTTTATATTCCTTTCCATTCCTATTACTACTGGTAAAAGTCAGCAACATAGAAATCTAGAAAGGCTTCAGCTACATCCTGATGAAACCCTGTCTGAAAAGGATGTAAAATAAATTACCAGAAGCTTTATGTTTTAATGGAAAATATGCAAGCTTTGAAGTCAGATAAACATCTTAAATCTTTGATTTGTGACTTTGGGCAAATTACTTACAGTTCACAAACCATAATTTTCTCATTTACAAATGGGAATAATAACATTTATCTCTCTGGGATGTTATAATGATTTGAGAATGGATAGATATAGATATAGATATACTATATATATATACATATATATACATATATATAGTGTCTGATCTATAGACAATAAACAGTATTGTGTGTTTTGTTACTTAACCTATTAATTTGCTAAAATGTTGCTAAAGGAAACTGCAATACAGTATGCAAAAACTCTGAGTGCATTTTAGCTGCTACATTGAATGAGCAAGAGGGAGAGATTAATTGTTCACTCTAATTTTGTGTATCTATATGCCCCATAAATCTGGAGCCTGACTTTTAGTTTAAAATAATAATATGAATATGATATATTGAGAAGAGAGCATTAAAAACTCCAAAATAATCTCCTAAATGCCTATTATATTAGCCTTCCATGTAGATTTTTTTCTTCTGTAATAACTTGAATGAAAGAAAATATGTAGGTGAATATTAGTATTCAAATAACAAAGTAATTTCTTCCTTCTGCTAAATGAAGGAAAGGAACCAAATCTGATTGTGAACTGAAGGCGTCATTCACATTGCAGTCATGGTTTCTGTTGCATGCTTAATCAAAATTCAAAATTATGGTATTGACAGAAATAGTCCATGGAATAGGCTAATACTGAAAATGAAAACATAAAAGTGACCTCAGAGAAATGCAGTACAGATTATTTGCCAAACTAGCTACATTACTCAAAGAAAAGACTCCGTAAATTCAAATAGCAGAGAAGCATTTCAGGTAGCTAATGACTGCTTTCTTTTTTGTGTTGTTTGACTTAGCATCTTCAGCAAGCTCCAGAGGTAATGCTTTCTGTTGGTTGTGCATGTGGCTTAAAAAAGCATATTATAATAAAAACAAATTTAACCAGTGTAAGCTGTTTGGCATAAATTCCTCCCACCATAATTAGAATTTTCCTGTGTGCCAGACTATCTATGTTGTTTTTACTAATTAATAGTAAGTTCAATGATAACAGTAGTTAGCATGCATTATTTTCCTGAATAACTCATTTAATTTTTGCAATACCTATAAGGTAGATACTATTATAATCATCTACAAATGAGAAAAGAGGGACAGAAAATGTTTATGGTGGGAATGGCAAGTGGTGAGAAAGGAGAGAAGAAAACAGCTAGCCCCTATGAGCATTTTTCTAGCCAGCCTCACCTTCGTGCTATGCATGCATTGGATATATCTCTAGTTCCCAATCCATCTCCCCAGAATCTTGGTGTTATCATTAGGTAATTTGAATGGTTGTATAAGTAAAATGCTCATCAAATAACTCAGCCGAGTGGGGTAGTGAGTTTGTTGCATAATAGAATCAAGATTATCAAACATTTTAGCAAGCTTACATAATAGACTAAATTTAGCATGCTAAAACTTAAAGACGTACAACTTTGGTTTTAAAAATATACAGAAATGAGGAGTGCTAAATCTGCAGTTTGGCATCAACATGCTTAATTTAAGGATTTTAGTTTACTTGAAGTTTAAGATACATGATGACAATTAACAACAAAGTCATGGGCAGAGAAATTGCCTAGGATTCTTGCCCCTCTAAAAAGCAATAAAAGGGAAGTATAATTAAAAGTTTGAAAAGAAAAGATTTTTTAAAACTTAGTAAAGAGGAAAAAATACAAGAGTGGGAGTGTGTCTGGATTGTACAAAAGGGGGATGACTCTGAGAAAAGTGTTTAGGATTCAGATGAGTCAGAATGCTGTTAAAATCATTTTAGTGCATTAATTTTATAGTTTTGGTTATGGAAGTAGAAGGATGAAGATAGATTTGAAAGATAGGGTTAAGAAAGGAACAGTATGACAAATGACATAATATGAGAAGTGAACAAAATGCTAAATCTGGCATCAAGACCCTTGACCTGGGTGATCCTGGTGTACCAACTGTCCTGTTCTTCTAAGATCAGCCTTTCATTTAATAGCCACATAAAATATCTCAAGCTCTCATGGTGTCTAACTGCAAAAAATTCAATATCCTCTTGATTCTCACATTTGGATCGGGACTGCTGCTTGTAGCAGCTCTGTTGACCTCCTTGCAATGTGTTTAGAAGCATGAGCTGTGTAGTTAGACCAACTCATTTAAGTATTGTGTCTGACATTTCTAACAGAATGCTCTTGGGAAGGTTACTTCATCTCTCTATATCTCACTTTCCTCAACTAATAGAGGGTGATAATTAATTGTACCTACCTTAACGACATGTTCATTCCTCCATTCCACAAATAATCACCTTCAATGCTCACTGTATCAAATTCACAAATATCCTGTCCCCTGGAAAAAATTGTTAAAATCATATTAATAACACTATTTCCACCTAAAGAAGACAACCTCTTACTTTTACTGTTCAGAGTAATTTTGCTCTTGTTCATCTTAATCTGAGACCTGGCCTGGCAAAACCAGAAAGCCCATTTCAATGTCTTCTCAGGACAAACAAACAAAAAAAAAAGTAGACAATCTGACTCCCTGTCTCACTTCATACACATATAAAAATATCTGTTACAATTTCTAAACTGTGGAAATGTTTACTGGTAGACTTTCTTAATAGCATATTATTCCTCATTACATTATTAATTGTGCTGAAAGCCAGCAGGATGGGGTTGGGGGGTGTCTGTGTGTGTTTGCTAGTGGTAGGTGAAATACGAGTAGTTTTGGACATGTTGAACCTCAAGCACCAGCAGTATTGTTTTATGAAATTGTTCTGAAGGCGTTTAAGTTGGAAATGTGTTTCTATTATTTTTAAGTAGCTCCATAAAATATACTAGAAATGGATTTGGAGAAACTAAACACATAATAAGCAAATAGCAAATGTTAGTTGAATGGTTTGAAATTAAAAGCTCTGTGTTTCAGGGGGAAAAAAGGACAAATATAAAAGCAAACAAAACTATTTAGAGTTAATCCAAGAGAAATCTATTCACTCTTCATGTCAGAAGTCATCAATACTTTCCAGCTGTCTATCTAAAAATCGGAATCTTTCACCCAGCATTCAAGGCCATCAATTTC